TGGGGAGTCGCCGCAACATGCGAAAGGGATTTGCAAGGCCATGGCGGTGTGATCTTGACCCTTGTAGGTTGGAAATTTTCTGGTCCGGAGATAAGAATAATAAATTGTTTTTGCACTTTGCATTAAAACCTTGTTGTGCAGATTCATGTACGTACAGTACTTTTGATTAGGATTTAGTTGAACCGTGTATATGGCACATTATCTCTATTAATTCCCTACAACTGGGAATTGGAAGTCAAGTCCAGACCTTGCATTATTTCATGAAAATTATATTGAAACAAGTTAAAAATTATCATTGTATCGTTCATATGAAATACTATTGTTTTATGGAGCATTAAAAGAAATATACAATATTAAATAATTAAATGTATATAATTCATATAGGCACGTTGAAGTTTAGAGAGTCAACAATAATAGGGATGTGGCAACGAGTCCCTACTAGATGTAGTCCCCTCTCCATCCACATTTCTACTAATGATGAGTATGGCGTTCCCATGGGGGTTTTTGACTATAGGAAAAAATGGCCTCAGTCTTTATATCAATGGGAAATGATAGTTTTTCACAAGTATTTGGAGTTCATATCAAGTATTAAATACATAGAATTTAATTTTTTTCTTAAAAAATAAAAAAATAAAAATTTAAAATAACTTAAATAAATAAATACATTAACATATAGTGCAGTAAAATAATATTTAGTAACCAATTGTAGTAAATACATATTATTATATACGTCCAACAGGTCTAACAATAATTCATAAAAAAGATGCATGAACTGATATACATTTTTAGGTTGAGTTAAGTTATTGAATTAAGTTTGAGAAAACTAAAATTGGAAAATGAATTAGGTTGGGCAATTTAGATTAAGTTAGATTAACCAATTAAATTGAGTGAGTAAAAATAAAAATTAATTGATAATATATTTATAAAAATATATATAAAAACAAATTTATATTTTTTTATTATATATGAATCTTTATGGGTCTCCACGAGCCGAAGAAATTTTCATGAGAAAAAAATACATCATTTTTTATCTTACAAAAAAAATATTCTTAAAATCTTCATATATGTAACAAGTATCACTATAGAGCTTTGCGAGTTTAAGAAGAATTACCATCCTTAAATAATAATTATTGTTATAAATAATTATAAAATTATATTTTGAGATAAAATGGTGTAAATCAATCTTCTAATTTCCTTATCTATTTTCAAGAAAAAAATCTCAGCCGTTATTGTGGGGAATCAGTTCCAATCATGCCACTTGATTCTGCCACCGCACCACCTCTGCAGGACGTGGGGCTCCATTGCCATGTCGGTCTGTGTGCACATAGACAAAATCCTCGTGATACTTTTACCTCGGAAAATTCGAATCCCGTGAGCTCTTCAAACGCCAATTTCGCAGTTACGCCAGTGTCTTTCTTACTGTGAACGAAAAATAAAAGTTGCAAAAAGAAGAACAAATAGAAAAGGTGAAGAAAGCTGTATTGTTAGATTTTTATATGGAAGTAATGAATTTAATATAAAAATTAAGAAAATGTGATGTGCAGTTTACAGTGCAGTTTTTAATTTTAAGAATTTTTCACATTTAATAAGCATTTTATATTAATTCTTTAATATCTATAAATTATATTAAATTTTAGATTAAATCACTTTAAATCTCATAATTTTTTTTAATATTTATTTTTATATTCATAAAATTAAAATTTAAAATTTTACTTTAAAAAATTGAATACATTCAATTTAAATTAATAAATTACTAGTAATAATAACTTTTATTTTACATTATAATATAATTTAAATTATAAAAATAAAAAATTTATAAAAACATAATATAAAAAATAAGTGATTTATACATACCTACAAACTTAATAAACTAATTTTTCGAGTTAACGATTATCATCATATGCTGACCCTTTCCTCGATCCATTTGCGGACTCAATTGCTTAACCCAAGAATGAGAGTGGTGCCGTGGACATTCATTAAATACAGTACTATTATATTATAATTTTATATAACACTTAATAAAATTATAATATTAAATAAATAAATATTTATAATATTATAAATAAATTTTTAAATAAAAAATT